GGACCGATCACCGATGGCCAATCGTTCCTTTCTACTTTGCCAAAGGTGGCTCAAAAATGTCTTCCCTAGTCTGTCCATCCTAACGATATCCCTTCCCGCCTTTTCAACCCACCTCCTATGCCCCACTACACCGGGGGGGGCGGCTTGTTTTACAACGTCGTTGCCAAGCGACGAAAACCCAACCCCGATGGCAAACATATCGGTGTGGGGGGACAAGGGGGGGGGGTTGAGCGGTCAAGCAAGGTGTTGATCAGACGAAACGAGTGCCCCAAGATATTTGGTACAAGCATGCATCCCGTGTAGATGTATGAACAACCTCACCGCGTGTTTTCTCGAAACCCGGAAAGAAACCAGGGTTTTTCCTCCTTTTCCGCTCACAGATATTGGAGCAGGATATGTAGCATTCCACCTGCGGCTTCCTCCTTCCCCCTGTTAAGGGACGCAGCAGAGAAATACTGGCAGTGACAAGTACGTGACCGGGATGTTTCGTAGCATCGGAGATAACTTGAGAATTCATGTTTTCTCGATGATTGGCCAAGGGGCGACCTCTAGGATAACAGCCCTTGGTTACCATGGCTGACGACCCAGATGACCTTGCTATGCAGGTACCTCCAGACCGTCGTTGGGCTTGGGGAAGGGGTCGTAAGCGTGTGGGGTGTGAAGATCCCGCGGGGTGTAAGCTACCACCGTCAACAAGCTGACGTGGTCTCGGCTGTTTATTTGCCTTCAATGGGAACGTACACCCTTCCTCTCTAAGCCAAAACTGCCTCCATTCGTCTTCTTTTTTGTGTGTTCAAAACACAGGTTTGGCTTCGTACTGCTCGTCCAAGGCGGGGCTGACGCATCTTACCAAAGTTCTGGCGCTCGAGTGGGCGAGGCACGGCATTCGGGTCAACGCCGTGTGCCCCGGCTACTTCAAGACCGAGATGAACTCAGATTTTTTCGACACTCCCAACGTGAGCCCTGCCTGCCCTGCATGCGTGCCTCATGACGGTCACGACCAACACTAATCTGTACCGTTTGACTGCACTTTGGTTGGGTTTTGTTCTTCGCTTTCACCTGCTCTCACCTAGTCCAACATGTATTGAATTGCTTGGCTTCCACTTACGGCTCTATCGGTCGTGCTTGGTTCCCTCCCTCCCTCCCCTCCATCTTTCCACCCCTCCTCCATGCTGACGTTGCCCTCACGTGTGCACCATGCCGTGTAAACGTTCGGGAAGAAGAGGTGACTAAGGTCCCACGCACAGAACTGTGCTTTGCCGACTCCGGCTTGACCTAAACTCCTGTCTATCAATCCCCAACCCCCTCCCCCCTACTATCTCCGACCATATCTCACGGCGATTGCGCTTGGCGCACAACCTTGCCGACGACAAGCCGACGTGCCACATCCCGACTCCACTGGAACGCGAGGATGGGAACCTCAAAGCGTCTATATACGAACATTCACAACCATTAGGTCATCCCCTCCCCCCCCCCCACAACGCTCTGTCCTCTCGAGGACGCGTGGTCAATGGTCTAACCGCCAAGGCATGCAAAACATAAGAGTACAC